TTCACTATTTTGTCAAATTCAAAGGAAATTTAGTCTTTCCTTCATCAATTCTTACTTGTCAACTATAACCAACAACGTAATTATGACATGTGAAAACAAAATAATGTGTAATGACAATGTGAGATGGTCCGTTATGTAAACATTTGGTTTTTTTTATGTTTTCTTATTATGCTATATACTTTTGAATTATTTTGTGTCCATGTGTCAAAATTTTATTGGTGGTTATAGTTGACAAATAACAATTAATGATAAAATGACTAATTTGCCCTTAAATTTGACGGAATTGATTCTGCAATCTAATGAGAAGGGGTTAATTGATTGATTTTAAATAGTTCAAGGGGGTAATTTACCAAAAAAAAAAAGTTTAGGGGGTCAATTTCAACTGGGGTGATAGTTCAGGGGGTCAAACCGCAATTTACCCTATTGTTGAAATATCTCACATCCACCGTATCTCTGTAAAAAGAAGTTTAAATATCATAACCCTACTCCAATTAATACCGAGGCCTTTTGTGGTAAAACTCCACACCTGACGAATTATGCAAATGGTAATTAACAAGTTGAGGATAATATCGGTATTGTTGGAAGTAGGCCATTGACCCATCTCTCTGATAATTCTACATGGTATCAAAGTCAAGGAGCGGGCCCGTACTGCCACATGATGGGTGGGTCCCCTTGGCCGCGCCCGATGATGGTGGGCCTCTTGGCCCCGCTTGTAGGCTGAGTCCCCTTGGCTCCATGTGGTTGTTGATGTGTGAATCTCTCACGTGAGACCCACTAATTGGGTCCCACGTAAGGGGGCGTGTTGTAATATCCTACATTGACCGTATCTCTATGAAAAGAAGTTTAAATATCTTAACCCCACTCCAACTAATACCAAAGCCTTTTGTGGTAAAACTCCACACCTGATGAATTGTGTAAATTAATAAGTTAAGAACAATATCGGTGTTATCAAAAATATATCTCTGGCTTGTCTCTGTGATAATTCTACAAATATATCATGATATGATACGTACCAAGATACCTCATTACTAACACGTGCATGAACCGGAGTAGCAGCAACCCCATTTGTCTTCCTACGTATCCCATCTTTCACCATTTTCTTGTTGAGTGTGATTAATTCATAGAATTTTTATTATCTTATCTGCATATATGTATGAATAAAAACAAATATTAATTATGTTTTAATTAGGTGGAAGTAGTCTCGTGGCACATAATGTGGTAAATGTAACTGTCTATCATGACTAGAGGCTGCCTCTGCAGCTAGACAACCAAGTTGTGATAATATATATAATTCCGTAATTTTGCAACATCGATCTTTGTCATCATCTTCAAGGGTTCCTGTGTGGATCTATCCGATTTGTTGCAACAGGGAATTGCTCATGGCACAAAGCTACAAACCTCGCTGTCAATTCGGTGGCAAATCACTTCTGAAAGCAACGTAGAACAACTATAACATGGATGAGTTTTCCTTTAGCTAACCCCTCATCCAAATTCCAGCTTGTGATTAGGGTTTGGGTTAAGATATCGGATCCAAGGTTTGTAGGAGTTCTTCTCCTTATAACTCAATTAAATGAAGGATTTCATAAGACTATAAAAATGTAGGAGTTCTTCTCCCTAGAACTCGAGTACCAAAAACGTTTATGATAATGTTTGACGAAAAAATTTAAAAATGTTTCTGGATCATATCTGAATTTCTAATGAAAATTTTATTATGCTTCTAATTAACAAAAGCTATTATGAGCAAAAGTACTTCTTACAAAAACATTCTTAAACAAAACTCTTAGAAAATATAAGAGTAATGCTAGGGAGACTAGATTTGTAGACAAATTAAATTTTATAAACTAAATGACATAGAAGAATGTATTCATTTATATTGATGACATAATATTTAGTTTATAAATTTTGTCTACAAATTAAATTAGTGCTGATGCAATGTATCATACCACACAGTCATTAAGGATTAAGTGGGATGCGGTGCCACGCAAATGCATACATACTTGGGCCAGTTGGCGAAGATGTATTGCAACAGTGTTTCCATATGATTAGTTTCTTCTTAGTAGATAATGAATTAAAATTAGTAGGCTCCATGCATGCATGAGTCGCTTCAGTACTATCGGATGTAGATGCTAGAGGGATTTTTCGGTGTACCCGGCACACCAAAAAAATTTGGTGTACCCTCACTCATAATGGTGAGGGTGCACCAAAAAAATTTGGTGCACCCTCACTTTTTGTACACCAAAAAAATTCTAATGAGTGAGGGTACACCAAAAAAATTTGGTGTACCCGGTACACCTAAAAATTTTCGTAGATGCTGCTGGACAAAAACAAAAATGCTTTACTATTTATATTTTTATGATTTCTAATATAAAAATTTGTATGATGAACTTGGACTACCTCTTGAAACTGGTGCATGGTCCTCAATCTCATTATTTGAAGTAAAATTAAAACAATATAACATAATTTTTTTTTAGAAAAAAAAAAGTCACAAGCATGTGGTCCAATATTTTAGTGAATAGGGTGTTGCAAGATTACAATGATCAATAGAATTCTAATCTCGTGTTACACGTAGATAATATAAGAACAAAAACAAGCATTTTGGTACAGGGTATGTGATACCATCGTCTAAGAACACCATCTAATCATAGTCATGACCCCAAAACATCAAGTAAAGTAGATCCAGCAAATCAAAACAGTTTTAACCTTACATATATATTCGAAAGGGATCTAGCACACCAAGACGAAAACTAAAATGAAAGAACTATCATAAGGAGAAGATCCAAAATCATCAAACTTCCAGTGAATTTTGGGGAATTAGTAATCGAAATCAAACTAAAAGGACAAAGTAGTGTTGATGCTCCACATTGTCACAACATCTTAAAGAGAGACAGAGAGTCATATCAGTTAAACTCTTAATGTTGTACTGGTTAAATCTGAACCCGATGCAATCTGACAAACTTGTAGCTCTAAACACATTTTGAAGGTAAAGCCAAATCCTTGTGTTGGTTGTGCGCGTGAGCCAATAAACGATGACTACAATGTCTCACAGAAAATATATACACTAAAAAAAAAAGGGATGTGCTGTCCACACATCATATTTTACTTTTCACACACCTTTTGATAATTTATGTCCGTTGATCTTCTTCAATTCATCTGATCCAATGACTAAAAATTAAAAAGGTATGTGAGAAGTAAAATGGGATGTGTGGATATCACATCTAAAAAAAAACAAGATGATATCGAAAGAGGTAAAAGACCAAGAAGGATTGTTGCTGACCCAAGATCAAAGACTACGGTCGGCGGCTTTTCTCTCTAGATGCTAGGTTTTTTTTTTTTTTTTTTTTTTTTTCTTCTTCTGAAGAATCACTTTTCATAATAGTATATTTATAATTCTATGCTATTTATGTCTTGTTTGAGAATGGATCTGACTTCAAAATTAACTTACAAAGGAGAGAAGTTTCTCGTTAAAAGGCCCTTAAAAGACATGCACAAGCTTCTTCTGACTATCATTCCCATTATTCAAAAATCACTTACAAAGGAGAGATTTTCTCGTTCAAATTGTAAATGTGAGAGCAACATATTTTTTTAAGTTTTTTTTTTTTTTTTTTGAACAACACATCTTATGTGAATTCACATGCCCATTATTTAAAAAATAAATTAAAACTGTTCATTCATAAAAATAAATAAATTAAAGAGATTAAAACCATCTCCAACTTCAACAACTTTTAACAAGTAAGAAACAGTTTACTCTTTTTTTTTTTTTTTTCAGAACAATACATTTTCTCTAAATGGTGAGAGAAATAAAATAGTATCAGATTCGTCATTCATGAAATTTGAATTTAATACTTCTCACTTATGCGTTAAGAAAAATACTACTTACAGATTAAGAAAAATACTACAAGACGATATTAATAAAAAATATTTTTCTTAGAAAACACTAGAAGTGCAACTTTACACTTTCATTTGTTTATGTGAAACCTTATAAAAGCACATTTTCTGATTACAATCAACCGTTTTGAGCCCCTGTATCAGCTATCAATCAAATAATTAGCTGAAATCATTCAAATAATTAGCTCAAGTCAATGAAGTAAAACGAAAGAAGGAAACGACGACCCGATTGTGTTCGGAAGGACAAAGGGGCTACAAACCATACAAATTAATTAGAAAACTTCATTTTAATCCTTGCCAAATATGACTTTTAGATTAAAACCATGAGTAAGATCAAATTTAATTTTAATCCCTTGATACATTAATAACCTTATTTATTAATTATATTTTGATTTTTTAATTATTTCTCTTTTTCTTCCTAATTTTTAATATATTAATTTTATTTAATTTTCACTTTCATTTTCATTTCATTTATCGTAATATATTTTGTTGTAAACATTTAGGTAAACTAATTTTTGTTATACAATATATTTCGATGTACTTTGTCTTCTTCATTTAGGTACATTAAATTCATTATAATATATTTTGGTGCACACATTTATGTACACATATTTCGGTACATAAATTTTGATACAAACATTTAGATACACTAATTCAATATAATACATTTCGGTACTAACATTTTAGTGCATACATTACGGTACACACATTTAGGTACATTAATTTAATACAATACATGTTGGTGCATTTAGGTACATTAATTGAGTCTTTCAAGTTTGAAAAATGTTAAATAAAATTAATAAATTAAAAAACTCTTTTTTGGTAAAAAAAAAATTAAAATTTGTATATTAATAAATTTAAATATTTAATAGAAGGCATTTAATAAAATGCACATTAATTGTTTTGAATTAAGGACATATCAAAGGATTATAATAAATAGGTAATCTAATATTAAGTTTATTTTAAATTTCAATCTTCTTTAAGAATTAAAGTTAAAAAAATCCCAAATTAATTCACCACAGATTTTACCTGCGAGAAGGATAAAATTCCCAATCATCTCTGAACTGTTCACGTTCACGGAACATTACCATTATATATAAGTACATATTTCGAAGTGCATAGAGTGGCCTGCAGGCATCTTCTCTCACTCTGTTTCTCGTTCTTTCTGGGGGCATCTTCTGGAAATAAAGCCAGAGCCTTTTCGAAATTTTCTGCTTTGCCAGTCTCGACTTTTTACATATTCTTGAATCCCAGAAAAAACCCAGATCTCCTTTTCGATTCCCGGGAAACAAAAAGCAAGAAAATCCAAGAAAAAGAGGTTCACTTTTCCTTCATTTGTACTCTTTTAAGTTCTGGAGCTCCTGTAATATCATGCCACTTCTCGCCTTTAGAGAGCTCTCCTTCATTAATTTCTCCTGGTATTTATTACCAGAGAGAGAATTTATATGCATTCTGTCACACTCCCTGTTTGGTTGCCGAGAAAACCGAGGTGGAAAATTAGACTAAAGAAAAGAAAATTTTCGGGTCACATTTTCTGATGTCGCTTCTTCTTGTATTTTTCTCAAATTTGGTTTTTCTTACAGTATCCGAGCTTAACTGAATTGGGTTTTTTGTTTAGTTTAAGATAATTTAGGAATCATTGATTCCGGAGCTTACTCAGCCTTTTTTTTCGTTTCTTTTATTTTCTCGGAAACCAAACAGAGTTTAACATGGAACATGCAAGCTCCTTTTTGAAAACATCAAACCGTAGGCTAAACTTTCTGCTGAATCCGTGTATCATTATTTCTCTACCAAATTAATTTTTATTATTTTCTTTTTTAGGTCTTATTTATTTTGATGAAATTTTGGATAGTTGTTACTATCATATAAGCTAAATTAGCTGGAAAATAACTAATTTTCTGTTTTTTCAAACACTTTTCACGTTCTGTTAATTCCATACAAAGAAAACCACTAACTCTCTGCCCCAAGCATCAAGGGAGCAAAATGTGGCTTGAGCCTACTTTTGTTCTGATTGGATTCATGATTTTTCACTGGTTTTCTCAACTGCGTCAGTTGAATTTTGCCAACCCTTTTACCTGATTACAATTTTTCATAAATTTCTTGGTGTTTGGGACTTTTCTGCAGAAGGTGATTGGCGGAGGAGGAATTGAAGAAGAAGATGAATAATTCAGTTTCGGATCGGAGTTTTTACATTGAGAGTGAGGAAGAAGATGATGAGGAAAAGGAATTCAATAAGAGCATTGAAGACGGAGGCGAATCGGATTCTTCTGCCGAATCTTTTACTGAGAATCGGCAGCCGAATAATCCCAGTTCTCACAACAATCAATGGCCTCAAAGTTACAGGTTCTCTCTCTCCCCCATATAATTTACCATGATTTCTTTATTGTTCAATTAGAATTTTTACCGCTGTAATATGTAGTAAAAAAAAAATCTATTTCTATAGGTGAGTTTCTGCTGGGAATCAAAACAGGAATGGTAAAATTTGGTGGATTCGTGAGAAAGTTTACTTGCTGAGAATAATAATCAAAACATGTTACTATTGCAGTGGTGGTTTACAGATATGCAGAAACAAAAATTTAAACAATGAAAAACAAATCAATAGTTGGCTGCTTGTAAGATTTCAATTTGTTAAGCCAAAAGAACACATTGGTTTCGGATTGTTAGGGGGTAATGCAGGCTTGAAAAGTACTTGTTCATTGTTTCTCTTTGCATCCTTTCTTTTATACTTGCTGAAACAAAAGGGAGTGATTTGATTTTGGCTAATGGCTTTAATGAATTTTGCGTAAAGTTGAAAGCGAAACTAGTTAGTGACTTGCTCGTTGATTTTGAATTGTCTCTAGCGAAGTTTATTGACAAATTAGGCGGGTGATAATAATTTATTTGATTCTCTTATTCTTGTGATTCTTCAATCTTTAGTTCCGACTTCTGAATTAAAACTTCCTGTATTGCAATTGGTTTTTCAGGCAATCCATTGATCTCTATGGTAGTGTTCCATCCCCTAGTATTGGGTTTCTGGGCACTCCTTCATTGTCAAGACTAGGAAGTTCATTTCTTTCCTCATCCCTAACAAGAAGGCACACTCCCGAAACACTACCTTTCTTGTCAAAACCGTTACCAAGGGTCGCAGATGAGCAACAACAGCAGCAGCAGAGACGCAGTTCTCATTCTCTGCTTCCTCCTCTGCCAAGGAGGTCTTCAGTTAGAAAAGATGAGAAAGCATCCAGGGTTACTCATGACCATCATCCGATGTCTCGCCACAGCTCATTTGCACAAGCCGTGATCAATGGTAAGTATGAACATTTTATGTTTGCGCACAAATTGTTCATACATATTGGTTCACCTTCATCTGCAGGTTATACTTGCCATAATGCTGTTTTAAGTCTAGGAATTGTTTCTTGGTCATCAATTACATCAAATTTGAGTACTTTTAAAAGATATCCTACTATTTATTGTGTTCAAGGATGTCTAATATATAATTAGACCTTTTCGTGTGTCGTAAATACAAATCCTTTGAAATTTGTTAGGTTTCACAATTTAGAGTTACAACCTCTTGAGCTTCACTATATGTCATGTATTGTTGAAAATATACTGGCATATCCTTGCCGTTCAACTCAGTAGTCGGTCTGACTCTTATTCTCATCCCTGGGTGTATACCTCGGTGTTCCTATAGCATGCACACATCTTGGAAGAAAAACACGGGGATATACACCCGGATAGAGTAGAAGCTATCTGTCAAGTTCAAAGTTCTCTTTTTACACTGAATTTTTAGTTTGTTCAAATCTGAGGAATAAAATATAGATACCAAATTTCTTCAAATCTGAGGAATATAATATAACGTGTGTCTGCAGATTGCCTCATTGCTTTGTCCATATCCTATTAATATCTTCAAATTATGGGCATCCAAACAAGCAAACCCAGTATTTATTTCACATGAGCTAATGTGGTTGCTTACAATTTGGCCCTACTGCACATGAAAAGATCCACTAAATAAGTTACAAAATATGGGCACCGATTAACTTGTTTGGCTTGTGTGGATTTCAATTTAAAGCTATAGTTTGGATAACTTGTTAAACTTTGAAAGTGAACATGTGACGTAATTTGAAGATCGATCAGCATTGACTGACCATTTTATATTATTCAGGAATTAACGTTCTTTGCGGGGTTGGGATCCTTTCGACACCATACGCGGTCAAAGAAGGAGGATGGCTTGGGCTCTTCATTTTACTTATTTTTGCAGTGCTTTCGTTCTACACAGGATTGCTCCTGCGTTATTGCTTGGATAGCCAACCTGGGCTTGAGACTTATCCAGATATTGGCCAAGCTGCATTTGGTACTGGAGGCAGAATCGCCATCTCGGTAAGCTTGCTTACAGTCGTAGTATATGTATCATGTTTAAACACGAGCACTGGATTATGTATCACATCTTTAATAGAGGCGAGACCAACTTGTATGATTGAACCCTATCAAAAAGCAGGAATCATAGAAGAAAACAAGACGTTAAATTACAAAGTGTGTTTACAGATTTGAATTGAATAGCTACAATTGTTGTCGTCTAAGTGAATTGTCTTTGTTTTTGTTTTTGTGGGCGCAGATAATACTGTACGTGGAATTATATGTAAGTACAGCTGGCATGAGTGAGTGAGTATTTTCCTTATATTATATGTGTAATCATTTACCTATGCCTATGACTCTATGGTTTGAAATGGCACACATCCATGGAGTTATTAAAAAGCGACTAGAAGCTGGATCCCAGTGGGGACAACTCTTCAATTCCTGGTCCCACATCTAGATCTGATATAGTGAGCCTCTTATATAAATTGGGTCCACATTTGGATGTGTTTTTTGACTAGTCATTGAGTGAAATTACTAAAACAAAGCAACTTTTCTCGAGTATCTGTGTGCCAGTAGGTACTCAAGAAAAACTGAAAATAGACAAGAGGCAGGTGGTTCTTGTCATGGTGCTCACTTACCAAAAGGGAAATAATTCTCCTTCTACACACCCTTGATTAATCCAGACTATTGTTTCGTTTAATTTATTCAATTTGATATCGAAAAATAAAGAGGGGCGTATAAGAGGCTAAAAAGGGTGTGTGAAATTCGACTCTTGAGTACATCATTGAAAACTTACCTATCTCGGGGTATTTCTCCCATGTCTCTATCGCACTCCTGGCATAACTTATCACGACAATTGATATAGAGACGTGTGGGATATAGGGCCATAACACGTAGCTCCTCCTCATAACATCTTTTTAAACTGCACTCAAGGTTTCTTTGAGATCCATATTTGATTGAGGTTCTTAGCTTTTAGGGGCTTCAGACTTTGTGAATTAGAATTTGGAATGCAGGCAGTGACCAGACTAGCTATTGTTGGACAGAAAAAGAATTTTCTTTTGTTAGGAACTTAGAGCCAAGCTTAAATGACTGTGTAGCCAAATGATCGATTTGTCTAGTCGAACGGATTCTTTTGCTCATATATTCATCATCACATTGTCATGCTGCTCTGAGACACTGAATCAAAAATATGCTCATCTTAGGCGTTGCCTTGACGTATTGAGTGTTACTTCTATCTTTTTAAGCACATAGATCACCTACTTTAAATTGCTCTACCTGCAGGCTTGTTGCATAGAATATATAATTTTGGAGAGTGATAACTTGTCTTCACTATTTCCAAATGCGCAACTGAGTTTGGGCGGATTCGTGTTAGATGCTCACCTTTTGTTTGCGATTGTGACCACCCTTGCTGTTCTTCCTACTGTATGGCTTCGAGACCTCAGTGTTCTTAGCTATATCTCAGGTGAGTTTGGAAAGTTGAATATAATGTATCTTATGTATCTAATTGTCCGAAATGAATTTGCTTTGTCCATGTTATTGGTGAAGCTAGAAAATCTGTTCGATCAGAATAAGAATGCATTAACTAAATGCATGCTGTTCTTTGGAGAAACTCTTACATTTTACTTGTTTTGCTTCCAGCTGGTGGAGTCATTGCATCAATCTTGGTCGTCCTTTGCCTCTTTTGGGTTGGTCTAGTAGATGGAGTTGGCTTTGAGAACAAAGGAACACCACTGAACCTTGCAACCCTTCCTGTTGCTATGGGTCTCTACGGTTACTGCTACTCAGGACATGCTGTTTTCCCAAACATTTATACTTCATTGGAAAACCGAAGCCAATACCCTGCAATCCTCTTAACCTGGTAAGCTAAAGATGCTGAACCATTCTTTTCATCTAATTTACTAAAATAATTTCTTTAAAAAGTTTTCTGCCTTTTCTTTTTCAAATTTTCGTCAAGTCTTATTGTCTGTGAACAAATTGCAACTTCTTAACTCATTGTTTCACTTGGATTTGTTATCCATGTAGTTTTTGTATTTGCACTTTCATGTACGGTGGAGTTGCTGTCATGGGTTACACGATGTTTGGAGAAGTAACACAGTCGCAGTTCACTCTCAACATGCCTCACGATTTAGTTGCGACCAAGATTGCTCTGTGGACTACGGTATGCCCATCAAAGATTTCATTATGGATTTCGTAACCTCAAACAATAACCTTGTGTTCTATATGCATGTTGCGAGCCTTTCCTGCTATAATTAACTAGAGACTATAACTGATTGCTAATACTATTACCGGTTTATTTTACAGGTGGTCAACCCCTTCACAAAATATCCTTTACTGCAAATTATGCAGATAATGAATGTCATCTTATGCACAAACACAAACATATATCACACGAGCGCACACAATGCATGCAGTCTAGAATTTTATTTTGTCTTCGGAAAAACATCAGAAAGAACAGTAACTAGAACCACATATGCATATATTTTTGCTTTTGTTGCTCAACATCTACACGCATACAAACACAAAACAAAATAATAAATGACAAGAAAAGACTTACTTGTCTCTCCTTAATTAGACCCACATATGCATTAACTATATCTCCCGTTGCAATGAGTCTGGAGGAGCTGGTACCATCAAACAAGTCTCACATATACGCAATCTTAATTAGAACGGCACTGGTTGTCTCTACCCTGGTTGTCGGTCTCTGCATCCCCTTCTTTGGTAAGTCTGCCTTGAACTTCTTTTCTTTGCCTTTCCCACTTTATATTCATATTTCCTGGAAGCTGTGTCTCCTTGCTTGCTTATGTCTTTGGAAAACCATTTGATTGTCATATTGTGTTGGTTAAAAGTATTACGAACTTATCTTAAACTATTGCAGGTCTCGTGATGTCACTGATTGGATCTTTATTTACAATGCTTGTAGTAAGTTTACCTTTGCTCTCTATTTCTTCTTCTATTCCTGTGGTAGTAACTTTGCACTTAATTGCAGGAAATATGTTCCAAAATTTCTAATCCATTTATGAGTTAAGCGGCTATTTATACTACACTGACAAATATATTACTTGCAGACATTGATACTTCCATGTGCTTGTTATCTGAGCATCTTGAGGGGACGCATAACTCGATTTCAGGTACGTCAGTGTCATGCAAGCTTTTTAGCATTCAGTCTTCAAGAATTTGCAGACTTGAAACACAAACGCATTGTTAGATAGAAGAGATCAATTTCAATGCTTTAATTATTATAAGGTTATACACTTGGAGCTTCAATGGTTTCTTATCTGCATTTTTCTGCTATTTCCAGGGAACACTTTGTATTATAATTATAATGGTAGGCGTTGTATCATCGGCGTTCGGGACATTTTCGGCCATTTCGAAAATTGTTGAGAGCTTGAGAAACCCTACATAGCTGAAGTTTTTGGGACATGTTCTTGAGCAGTGAGAGACCGCATGATTATGTATTATGGATTATTTTTAGAAGAGTATCTATGATCTCTTGGTATTCATTCACAATTTTGAGTTATCTTTGCATTTGTATCCTGCTTTCCTATCTTGTTTTCCAATTTATATTGCTTGCAGTAACATTACATTTTGCTACACCATTCAATAAGTTAGTAGTATTATATATACACAATTTTAGTAGTGTGCTATTGGTCTTTATTGCTTCAAAAAAATTTGTAAATAGAATAAAGGCAAGCACGGCTTGTAGTTCGAGCAGTTAAGAAGATTTGCTTATGCATTTAAACCTACTTCACTCGTTATTGTTTATATGAAGAAAAAAAATAGCTTGGTCTTTAATAAAAGATAGTCTAGGGACAAGATTAGAGTGGGTTTGAATTTTATGTTTGTACAGTACTATTATTCGTGATAGTAATCAAAATTAAAGGTTGGATTCGGATTACTGATATTACTTGTGTTTTCACTAATCATATGTCAATGAAAACACAAACCGGCCACACAACATTAAGAATTCAACCCATGATTTTCGAGGAATTTGACTCATTAATTGTTGGTGGTGGTATTCTAATTCATTGAGAAACAATCCATCATAAAAAAAAAATTAAATCTCTCCTATGTACTTCTTTATAGTGAACTTCCAAATTGAAAAATTTTCAGTCTCATTTGAGTGTATTTATACACAGAGATAATCAAAATAATATTTCAAAGCAACGTGAGATTTGTTAGGGATTCAAGTTAATACTAAATATGTAGGCATTCACGTTAACACTAAATACATAAATATATGTACATGCATATTTGCGATTCCTATGGACTGGGGTAATCAATTATATGTTACCATTCTCGCTGGCTTACAACTCTGCGATGTAGAATAAATTCTAAACCCGAGTTTATTTTCTGCAGATTGTCGTTCTATTGTGTTGATGTCAGTTCAGTTCGTCCCAAACTCGTAAAACGTGCTGATGTTGGAAAAGTATGCCAATGTGACTTGTATTGGTATGGGAGTAGGTCATGTAAGTTTTGGCTGAATGCTTTTTCATCAATCATAGTGTATAACTGAGCGTAGTGGCGTTTTAAGAATCATACAATCTCACTTAATAGGATGAGGCTTTGTTGTTGTTGTCTAGTGTATAGCTTCACGGAAATGACTAACAGTCAAGAATCCAAAATCTACTGTGGCATGAACATCTTTGCAATTGATCAGTGAAGTGATCTCTTCAAAGTGTGTATGTTTTGAGTTGTTTTTGTGGATATCATTCGAATAAGTTAATGTTGTTTCACTTACGTTACGAGTATGACGGAGAGAGGGGGGCTGGAGGTCGGGAGGGAGCCGGAGCAGGAGGGGAGTAATGTGTAAAGCTATATACGTTTTGAACTTTTGTTAGCAACCTCAATGCCATCTATGTCATTTTTCAAGACTAACTCTATCCTACAAACCCGTACATGATGAGCTTCCGTTTTTTCCTTCTGTGACGATATAACCATGGGAGTATCTTAGGCATGTTAATCGTACCATCTTTCCTTGCTTTAAGCCTTCAACATATATCTGTGTGTGACTGACATTTTTGTTTTCTTTGTGCATGTTTACATGGCGTGTTTTCATATTATGCAGAAGATGCCAACCATACAGATAAGTTCCCATATCATTGAGACATCTTTGAGGAACTTGGGGTGTTCCTTCTTGCCTTTTTCTACTTCACCTTACGAATGAGGATGATTACGTAAGGTGAGGATGATTATGCCAACCATACATATAAGTAAAAGGTTATATTTTTAGCTACATCTTTATTAAGTAATAACCACTCTTCTGGGTGGGCATCGGGTGGGTTGTGTAGAATTATTAGAGAGATAGGCTATATAGCCCACTTCCAACAACATCGATATTATCCTCAACTTGGTAATTACCACCTACACAATCCGTCAGGTGTGGGGTTGCATCACAAAAGGTCTCGGTATTAGTTGGAGTGGGATCAGGGTATTTAAACTATTCTTTTGTCATTGATACGGTTGATGTGGGACACTTCAACACGCCCCCTTATGTGGTACCCAATTAGTGCGTCACACTTGGGAAATTCACACATCGACAACCACGTGGAGTCAAGGGGACTCACCCTACATGCAGGGCCAAGGGACCCACCATATCGTGTAGGGCCAAGGGGACCCACCCATCACATGACACTACAGTACGGACCCGCAACCTAGCTCTGATACCATGTAGAATTATCAGAGAGAAGGGTCATACGACCCACTTCCAACAACACCGATACTGTCCCCAACTTGGTAATTACCACATGCACAATCCGTCAGGTGTGGGGTTTTATCACAAAAAGCCTCGGTATTAGTTGGAGTAGGATTAGGGTATTTAAACTATTCTTTTGTCATTGATATGGTCAATGTGAGACATTTCAACAAGTTGGTTTGGTTAGACTTCAATTCATTGGCCAACTCGAACCCAATAGACTCGGGTTGAAGTTTTTCAAACCAATCGTCACCCAAGAAAATTGGCAACCCAACACACACGAACCTTCTTAAGGCAGTTTGGGTTGGGCTAGGCGAGTTCCATGAATTGGAATTTATTGGTTTCTTTCTTATTTCTAATGTGAGTATGATAATCAATACTAACACCAAACAAGGCTAAATGATGTGAATTTGATGTTGTTATATCACTACACGTTAAATATGAAAAATGATTAAGGTTGTGACATAGAAAATAGAGGGGGTAATGTTAGGAAGGAGGTCGGCGTGTTAGGAAGAGAATAATTTTTCTTTTAATTTTATTTTATCTTAAAATAATTTTAAATCAAATAATAATTTTATAAATAAGTTTGTAATAATTTATAACTCTTTTACAGAAATTAAATGGAAATATCCTTAATTGGCTAACGAAAATAAACACAATGACCAAATTGGCCAAATTGAAAACATAAGGATTAAATTGACTCAATAACTAAAACATGGGGACCATTTTAACATTTAAGCCATTAATAATACTTCAACCCAACCAACCTATATAGAATGAGTGGTCAGGTTTTTACTCAAAAAATAAAGTTTTAATGTTTAAAACCCAATCCAACCCATAGTAGGTGGGTTGGTCGGTAAACCCCTAAAATGCTCACCCCTAACCTCCCTAAAGTTATAAAATTAGTTTGGTCTCAATGTTATGACTATATAAAGTTTTACAGTACGAAGATAACTTGTTTCCAAGTGCTTTTAAAATGACTAAAAGCGGTTTTAGAGAAATATTTGCAGTTTTAAAATGACCAAAAGCACTTAAAGTGTTTCCTAAAGATTTATTTGTAAGAAGCACTTCAAGTACTTTTCCATCATTTACTTGCATTTTTACGTTTGGTAACCCGTTTATAAGTTGGCTTCCCTAATATGAAATGAAAACAAAATTGAAAGTGAAAGTCCAATAAAAAATATTTGTCACAACTCGTCCATGCACATACCCATTTCACTCCTCCACCGTCCATCACCGTCCATTCTTTACATTAGACGGTCCACCATCTCTCTTCCTCTATCTCTTTATAAAGTTTTCTCTCAAAACCTTGGAATTGTTCCAAAATTCTTCACCTAGATTTTTTATCACAAGGAAAAGCTTCATCTTCTCATACATTCGATCGGATATGGTATATACATACATATATACACACATATTAAATTTTTTTTTCTTTACATAAAGCAATTGGGTTGTTGGTGGAGCTCACTCGGGATCAATTCCGCGACGTAATTCCCTCGATATGACGCTGTCTAATCATGTCCCCCGATTTTAGTACCAATTTCGATACACTTAATGAAATTTACAATTAGTTAAAAAATTTCGATGTTTTTGAGGTTTTTTTTTATTTTTATTTTTATTTTTGTTCCCATCACGGATCATATATTGGATTTGTTGATTTTGATGCGTTTTCCTTGATCCATGTGAGTATTTCTCCTCACGCTTAAAAGGTAAGAAATTTTCGTTTCAATTATTGCTCTTTTTCGAGAATCTTATACTTTGAATTCTATAATTATATTGTTTGTTGCTTTGGCAGTATAGTTGTTTCAGTAAAATTTCTGAGAATGGTTAGATTGGCACAAGCAAGATGTAAAGTGATCATAACGGCCAATGTTTCCATATATATTTTTAGTTTCCTCCAACATCTTATTTAAGATTTTCGAAAGGGAATTGTTATTAGCATTCCAAAATTCTCATTGTACACTTCAAACTTTCTATATTTAGAAAGAAAAATACACTTGTGAGGAGTGTAAAATAAGATTTTTGGAGTACCCATAACATTTTCCTTTTCGAATTCATAATTAATATTTACATAAAATGCTAGAAACTTGTTGAGAATGAATGGTTTATTATCATGCGAAAGCAGACATCTTATCTTCCTACCAATTTGAAACCAAAAGAATGATCATATGAATGGTTTGTCATGCTTAATCTCATGAAATTATGTCATTTCTTTTAAGTGAATCGGAGCTTTCTTTATGGGTTCTGTGAACCAGGATAATCTCATGGGTCATACATGGAACATGAGACCTAGCCTAGAATTATTGTTTTTTTTCATTTTATTTTATTACTTTTTTTTTGTTATTTTTTAATTTTGTTATCGGAGGTTTTTTTTTTTTTTTCTTTGTCTGAAACTAACTATACTATGAAGGAAAAATTAATAAAAAAAGTTTCAAATCATTGAATTTTAATAAAGATAAAAAATATAAAAATAAAAACATAAAAAGCAAGACTTGCGCTGGGCGAGCGTGCTGCTGCCCCCATCGCCCTTTCCCCACACTTTTTTTCTCCCAGCTATCATTAAGAGTTTTATTTTTTATTTTTTTGCTTAGAATAAGAGAAAGATTTCAAATTGAATTACATTTCTTAGTTTTATTTTTGTGATGTTGTTTCTCAATAGTAGTCAAGATGACGAGAGATTTTTCAATGTGTCCGGAACACAGGGCGATACACCACATGTCACTATACAAGTGATGAGAATATTGCGTTAAAAAATTAATAACATAAAAAATAAAATTTCTCACCACTTACATAATAATACATGGTATACAATTTGTCTTACAGGCACAGCCACACAAGGCATAAGGAAAATTTTCTCTAAGATGACACCCAAGCTAAAGAAATTGGATGGAGAGCTACGTTTGATTATTGTAGGTATGTAAAAAATGTGAGGGAATTTTAATTTGGT